GTCTGATTCTATTCCCTACAATGAGAGGGAAAGTTCAGCACCACTAAGTGAAGGGTTCCTGGACCTGTCATTTTATTCCTTCTGAGTGCAGTGTCTAAACTGACTCCTAAAGTGGAGAACTTCATGTGTCTGATACTCTTGTGCTAGCTGGGGCCAAGCAACATTTCTGAAGAGACAGACAGAAGGAGGAGCAGGGCCTCGGGCTCAGCCTTTTGGAGGGATTTCTAGGCCTTTTGCTTGGGAAGCTCGGAGAGTTTTCTGATTCCTGAAAGTTTCCTTTCTTGAGACTCCCGTGATATAGCCATGGGCTGAGGCCGGTTCACAGCATTCCTGGGGTTTAACCCCATTAGTCTTTGCTGGAAAAATGGTTCTTGCCCAGGTACTCTTAGATCTTAAGCAAAGGGATAAGCCACTCCTAAAAAGATGAATGCGAAGAGTCAGACATGACTTAGCAACTAAACAACAACAACAAAAGATGAAAGCAGTAGGGAAGCAGCAGGTTTTCCAAGCAAGGCCTGGGATTTGTAAACATTACTCATCTTCCCTTTATGCAAAGATGCAGCTATCTTTTCACAAAAGAATTCTGTGACTTTTTGGAATATCATTCTTAAAAAAAAACAACCATGTGTAGGATCCTAAAAAAGAAATTCCCCAAATTACTTCTTTCTTTCTTCTTTAAATTGAGAAATAATTCACATACCATAAAATTCACCCTTTTAAAGTGTATGATTCCATGGTTTTTAGTATATTCACCTTGTGTAATCGTAACCACTAATTTTAGAACATTGTCATCACCCTAAAAATGTAACCACATACCCTTTGGCAGTCATTCCCTATTTCCCCATCCCTCAGTCCTTGGCAATCACAATCTACTTTTCGAGATATATGTGTGTGAAGAGACGATCTTCAATTTATTTTCTAAACTTTCTCCTTAAAAAACACATCAATTAATATCTGGCACTTCAATAAATGCTGTTGGGAAAACCAAATAGCCACATGCAAAAGAATGAAAGTGGACCACTATCTTACACTATATAAAAAATTAACTCAGAATGGATTAAACACTTAAATATAAGACCTGAGACCATAAAACTCCTAGAAGGAAACAGATAGTAAGCTTTTTTTTCTTAAATTCATTCTTTTATTTACTTATTTTTTGATTGTGCTGGATCTTAGTTGTGTTCATGTGGGATCTAGCTCCCTGACCAGGGATTGAACCCAGATCCCCTGCATTGGCAGGCAAATTCTTTACTACTGAGCCACCAGGGAAACCCCTTCTTCATCTAACTTAAACAATTACTATTTCATATATTTAAAGTTTTTCTTCTAGAAAAAAAAAAAAAAAACTTTTGTTTGACAAAAAATGTTCAACACCAATACAATTGTTTATTTCCAGAATTTTAAAGTAACTCATTCATTATTCTCTGAAATCTTACTCTCCTTTAAAATCTTCCAATGCATGTCTTTTTTTGGCCACATCATGAAGCATGTTTGATCTTAGTTTCCTGACCAGGAATCCAACCCACAACCCCTGCAGTGAGTCTTAGCCACTATACCACCAGGGAACTCTCCCGATGCATGCTTTTTGCTTAAGCACACCACTGGGAAACTGTTCATAATTATAACATTTTACTTTCCTGTTGAATCTGTGAAGTAATCAAATTGTGATTCAACATAATTTGCTCATGAAATTTAGATAAAGTAGGTAATTTCATAGAAATCTATCAAAACAAGATGAAGATTAATTATTTGGTTAAAAGTATTAGGAAAGGGGTTTACTTTTAATATCTTCTTGATTTATTTTACAAGTAGTTAAAAAATCTGTTATGCAAACTTCTACCTTAATTTCTTTTCATATTCCTGAACTTCTATAACTGTCTTTTTGATAGTTGTTAGTATCAGTTACTTATAACTCTTTTTTTTATCATTTACAAAATATATCTTGAGACCTTTGCTCAGAAAGGAAGGTTCAAATGTTAATGAACAACTTTATTGTTTCAAGATTGAGTTCTCTATTCATGCGAGTTTTCAGCTATTGATTTTAGCTACAGTAATTACTATATGTCTTTGTTGATCACTTTAGTTGGTTACACATATCTTGTTTTAAAATTTTTTTTCATTTGGCTGCACCGAACCCTAGTTGTGGCATGTGAATTCTTAGTTTGCAGCATATGGAATCTAGTTCCCTGACCAGGAATCAAACACAGGCCCCCTGCACTGGGAGCTTAGATTCCTAGCCACTGAACCACCAGGAAGGTCCCAGTTACTCATAACTTAAACCCTGCCTTTTTTTTTTCAGAACTAGTGATCTTAAGTTTTGGCATTTGAGAATTTCAGTGTTTCTCTATAGTGTTCCTGGACTTGGCTTAATTATTGAAATTTAAAACCCTTGGTTAATACAGAGGCATTTGAAATCATCTTATGTGGCACTTCTTGATATTTGTCCACAAGGACACACCTGACCCTCCTACCAGTTGTGTACAAATCCTGAGCTCATTAATTTGTAGCTCCTTGCTTCTGTCTCCACCTAGGAAGTGTAACCTTATAGGCATTATCTTAAAACCAAAAACAAATTATTGGGAAATATCGACACATTTTATCAGCAACAAGTTACTGGGACATTCCTCCTGACATTTCATCACACTACACTGACCCCACATGATGCCTCATGACTCCCAGTGAAAAACACCACCCCAGTAGTTATTACATTGCACTGGGAAACAAGAAACAAACAAAAAATAAAATCATTCCCCCCATGTTGGAGAATAACCCTTGTTGGGGGAGTAACTTAAATCTTTCTATGCCTCAATTCTCCTTACACATAAAATGAAACCTACAATTTCTCATGAAAATGTCTGGAAGTTTAACATTATTGTTTTGTAGAACTCCCTGGCAGTCCAGTGGCTAGGACTGTGTGCTTTCACAGCAGAGGGTACAGGTTCAATCCCTGGTTGGATAACTAAGATCCTGCAAGTCATGGAACCTGACCAAAAAAAAAAAAAAACCCACCCATTACTGTTTTGAGAGCTTCAATTTAGTAAGATAGGATGGGAGGGGCTGGCAAAACAGGGACTCACAGGCTGAAGAGCTGGACCTTCACATAAGGGAGACCTAGGAAGATTACTGAACAGGGTAGTAACATAATCATCAATATCTGTGTCTTAGGAGGAAAACTGGCAGCAGTATATATAGAATGGCAAGAGAAGTTATGAGAGTATTGCAAAGGGCTGGACAAGGGTGGGGAGAGAGAAATATGGAGTTTGGGATTAACATATACACACTGCTTTATATAAAACAGACAAACAACAAGGACCTATTGTGCAGTGTGCGCTCATGCTCAGCTGCTCAACTGTATGCTACTCTGTCACCCCATGAACTGGAGCCTGTGGTCAGGTATGGACGTGAGAGTTGGACTATAAAGAAAGCTGAGCGCCAAAGAATTGATGCTCTTCAACTGTGATGTTGGAGAAGGCTCTTCTGCAAGAAGACCCAACCAGTCCATTCTAAAGGAAGTCAGTCCTGAATATTCATTGGAAGGACTGATGTTGAAGCTGAAACTCCAATACTTTGGCCACCTGATGCGAAGAGCTGACTCATTTGAAAAGACCCTGATGCTGGGAAAGATTGAAGGTGGGAGGAGAAGGGGACAACAGAGGATAAAATGGTTGGATGGCATCACCGACTCTATGGACATGAGTTTGAGTAAATTCTGGGAGTTGGTGATGGACAGGGAGGCCTGGCGTGCTGCAGTTCATGGGGTCACAAAGAGTCAGACACGACTGAGCCACTGAACTGAACTGAACTGAACTGTAGCCCGCCAGGTTCCTCTGCTGTGGGGTTTCCCAGGCAAGAATACTGGAGTAGGTTGCCATTTCCTCCTCCAGGGGATCTTCCCAACCCAGGGAAGGAACCCATGTCTCCTGCATTGGCAGGCAGATTCTTTAACCAGCTGAGCTACCAGGGAAGCCCATACACCAGGGAAGCTATACACTAGGGGCTCTATTTCAATTTTTAAAAATGGTTTTTAAAAAACAGGCCAGACAAGAGATGCTGAGGGTAATTGTTATGGAAGGGAGTTGGAAGGAGGAAGGAGACCAATTTAAGAGGTATTGGCAGACAATCAACTATAGATGTAATGGGCTTTGGTTACGAAATGGTGTGAGGACTGAGGAAGGAAGGACTTGAATGGGACTTTGAGGTTTCTGGCCTGAACATCTGAACATGCTGATGCCATAAGCTGGAAACGTAGGATTGCTTTTTTGTCTGTACACGTGTGTGCACTTCTGTGTAACAGAAGTGGGGCAGGGGGTAAAGAATGATTTTGTCTTGTTTCACGTGCCTGTGGACACCTGGTGCTATAGAACTGGACAGGTAGAGTGGGCTTTGGGACAGTTCTTGGTATAAAGAAAAGGAATACTCTAGTAAAGCGTACAGCTCATTTATATAGTGCTCAACTATTAGCGCCCGACACTCTGAGGTAGTTATTACCTTGCCAGCAGTAAAAACTTTATTACAGCCCCTGACCGATGACTGTGTAAAGGGCCTTGGTTCCCACAACATCTACGGGCAAAATATTAATTGCGATTAATTATCGTGTGGCACCATACAAAAACTAGAGGTTTCTTGGGGCTCCCGGAGGGCACTTGCTTGGTTTTTCGCTACAGCCCTCAGGGAGAGGGAACTGGACAGCTCCCCGGGTGGCCCTTCGGCCCTTCCCGGGTCTGAACCGGCCAGCCGCGAGCGGTCTCCAGACGCGTGCGCCTGGGCCTGGGCGCTCTCGGACTAGGATGCTACGACCTTGGGCGCAGGGCACTGACTCCTTCTTCCGCGCTCTCAGACCCCGGCCCCCCGCGTCGGGGCGGGAGGGGCGGGGCGGGGCGGAGCTGCTCCGAGGCCCCGCCGCCGGCCCCGCCCCGCCCGCCTGCAGCCGCCGCCGCCGCCGGCTCCCTCCGGCCCGCGGTGCGGTGCGCGCCTGCGCTGGCTCTCGTCTCGGAGCAGCCATGATGGTGGGTGTTCGCGGCGCCGAGCCCAGGGCGCGCGGTGGGGGCGGCGGGCGCGGGGCGGGCGCGGGGGCCGCGCCGGCCCGGCACTAACGTCTCCCTTTGTGTCTCCCCCGCTCCATCCTCTCCCCCCGGCGCGCCGGGCCCCGCCGACCCCGCAGGAAGGCCTGGACGACGGCCCCGACTTCCTCTCGGAGGAGGACCGCGGAGTAAGTTCAGCCTCCTTCTGGCTCGCGGGACCCCCTCCCTCGCCTTGGCCCTGGGGTGGGTTACCGGAGGGGGGTCCCCGGCCGCGCGGCACCCGCTCCCCGCCGGCCTCCTTTCGGTTTCCTCGCCGCCCCGCGCCCCGCCCTCCTGCCGCCCTTCTTCCCTTGGGCCGTGCGGTTCTGATTTCCCGGGGACCCGCGGCCGCTCTCGGCCCCCCGCCTCGGCTCCGACCCTGCGGTAGACCGCCTTCCCCGCCCGCTCCGGGTGCAGGTGGGGAAGTGGAGGGGGAAGCCGGAGCTGGACAGTCCCCGCCCCCCGCCCCTCGTTGGGGGCTATGAAACCTATTGTCAGACCTTCCTGCCCGCACCCTGAATTTCCCCTTGGGGACCTCTCGAACCCGTCTCCGCCCACCCTCCTCTCTCTCTAAAACATTGTAGTGCTGGCTTGTTGTAAATTATCCTTTTGCAAGGGATTTTACAGTCGCCGGGTCTTATCTCTTCTCCAGTATCCTACGAGATTTTGCAAAGTGCTGGTAGCCCACAGTGCCTTTACTTTTCCTAATGTCCAAAAGACACATCTTTTGCAGAGACCCCTTGGTGGTGATTTGAGGCAAACTGCAGTTCCCTTCAGAAAGGGCCTTCAGAGCTGTGATTCCTCCCTTCCACTCTGCCCCCATTTACCTTGGCTGAAGGGTGGTAATCTGTATAGTGCCTTGTACAAGTGAGCACTTGAAAGATACTGATACATGATGATTGCAACTCAGCAGCGTTCCATGGTTCCTTCACATTGAACAGCCTGAGCTTTACTTTTCTGTTTTGCTTTTACTTATTTATCTTTGATAATGTGAGAGACACGTCTGTTAGTCGATTTTTGGCAGATGATAAAATATTCTTCTAAGATTTTATTCCTTTTTAAAAATTAAAGATAAGATAGTATTAACTGATGACCTTTATAAAGCTTTAACATGGTAAGAAAGATGCAAAGGGTGCAGTATACTTTTATAGATGAGGAGTTAATACATTTCTCTATTTACACAAAACAGGAAAAGCAAACAGGATTTGCTATCTTGTAAAATCTGACTAATGTTCAGTAAAAGTATTAATTTTTTGAGTATTTATGTTGATGTGAAAAATAGAGTATTTTCTGGTGAATATTCCAAGCCTTATGGCTTTGATGAGATTTGATATCGAACTGGAACCTTTTTTTAAGTAATGTGTCCAGAAACTTTTCATGTATTACAGATTAAAGGCAGAGTGAGATGAAAGGCATGGGTGACCAGGAGATTCTTACAAAATTTTACAGATGAAAATTTTAATATGAAAATGGAAAAAAAAACCAACAAACATTTCCATGAATTTGAAAGCATTTAGAATGTCATGATGAATATGTCTAAATGTCCAGTTCTTCCTTATTTTTGTCCTGTGGAACTAGGTGAATCATAGTAATAGTCGCAGCTGGACAGTGTGTTAGCACTGTATAAGCACTGTTTCCTTATATCTTCTCATCATTCTTGTGAAGCTTTTAGTATCCCCCTTTACAGATGAGAAATCTAAACCTCAGGGAAACTAAGTAAGTAGTCTGAAGTCACACAGTCAGTGAGTCGGAGAGGTGGACTTTAAATCCTGTAGCTGACATCAAAGCCAGTGCACATATTTCTCAAAGTCTCCTTGAAACACTTGCGTCAGAATCACCTGGGGTGTTTGAAAAACTAAAGTCAAAAGGTTCTGGGCCCTCTGTCTAGTAAATCAGTTTCTTGAGATGGAGAGGGAAGAAAATTACTTTGTTAACAAGCAAGAAGATTCTATTGTACATGAAGTTTCATTATGGCTGCACAAAGTTATCCTGCTATTTCCTCATTTCAGGAACAGAAATTGCAGGCCTGTTTAAATTTCCTTATATTGTGTTTGTCTTGATAGAAATAGATTAGTAGAACTTTTAGGCATTGCACTTTTAGTTCAGATTGTCTTGTTCAGCCTTTTAAGAAGGTCTTGATAAAGAGAAAGCATGAAATATCTATTTGATACAAAGTGCAGAGGGGAACATCACAGATTCAAAAATAATAATGTAAGCACTTCATTCAAAGCAGTAAGCAAAATTAAAGACAGTATTTTTAAATACATTGATAAGCAGCCTTGAATTTTCATTATGCTATTTGGAGCAGAAGAGACTCTTAGAGCTTTAAGAAAATACTGTTTTGTGAGAAACATAAAAAGCAGACTTTAAGAACACACTGTATTGAAAATATTGGTCATGTTTAATCTCTTTGGTTACACCTCTACATAATAGGGTATTTTTTTTCTTTCCCAAAGGCAGGACAGTAACATATTATTTAGTAAACAAATGAGCCCTTTGAACTGGACACATTTTGCTCTGATGTCCTTGTTAAATAGAGCAGTAGGTGCCAGCATGATGGCATAGTTCTGTTAGAATTTGATTTGAATTCTAAATAATATGTTTATTGTTTTCAGAATTACTTCAGGTGGAGGAACTACACCTGTCCTGGACTCCTTGCCTTGCTCCTCCCTCTGTATTTCTTATCTTCATTAATATCATTTCCATTCCTGCAGGCCAAGAAGCCGCTGAATCATATCCTTCATCCCCATACCAGAACAATCATCAAGGCCAGATAATTTCACCTCAGAAATGTTGTTTAGCCCATCTTTTGTTTACATGACCTCAGTTAAGGTCCCTGCCATCTCTTGCCTGGCTTGTAGCAAGTATCTGTTATTGGTCTCTGTCTCTGGTGTCTCTTGTTTTCCAGCCCAGACTTCACATGACTGCTAGTTTATCTAATTGAAATGATTGAATCACATGGCACCAGTAGTCACAAGTGCTTACTTGGACCCAGTTCTTTTTGCAGTAAGGTCTAAACTCCTTATGCTAGCGTTGAATACCATTCGTCATCCTTTCTGGCCGACTTCATTCTCAAGATGGCCCAGCAGACACCCCCTCCCCAACACACACACCGTAGGCATATTCTAGACTATTTGTCAAGCATGTCTGCCCTTTCTAATGTGTTTTATGCATGCTTGTCAATGTTATGGATTGGTTTTTTTCCCTTCACCTCTTTTTTTCCACATGAAATTCGGCTTATCTTTTAAGACTTGGCCCAGATGTCTACATTTTCTTTTGTACCTCCTCAGCATTTAGCTTGAGCACATTCCACATTCATTGATAGTTGTTTCAGATAAAAATGTCATGTAGATTTTGTTAGCAAAGGATGAGTTGAATGTTGGCAGAGGAAGAAGAGAAAGCTCCTGCCTGGGACCGTGGCAGTGTAGTCGGGACTCAGGGTGAAGTGCTGAGGGAGAACCAGGGACGGCGATGACGTGACGGTAGCTACGCACTGCTGAAGCGTCTGCTGCGTGCCAGGGGCTTTCCATATATTAACTCACTTCTCAAATCCTTGTGAAGTAACTCCTTCTGTTATTCCTACTTTGGAAAGGAGAAGTGAGGTTTAGAAAGAGTAACTTGCCCAGATTCCTACAGCCAGTAGGAAATAGATTCAAACTCAGAGGGAATCTAGCTATGGGTCCTGGGCTGTCATGTCCAACTGTTTTGTGACCCCACGGACTGTAGCCCACCAGACTCCTCTGTGTATGGGATTCTCCAGGCAGGAATACTGGTCTGGTTTGCCAGTTCCTTCTCCAGGGGATCTTTCTGACCCAGGGATCAAACCTGCATCTCTTGCATTGCAGGTCTATTCTTTACCCCTGAGCCACCAGGGAATCCCTGGTTAACTGTGGTGCTGTCTCCTAAAGGAGCTAAACCTTAAATGTTGATCAGAAATTGTGTAGGCTATCAGGGAAGGGGAGGGCTAGTCAGCAGAGAAGATAACATGTGTAGATAAGTCATTTGGTTCCACCTGCAGCACTTGTTCTTATTGGAAGCAGGAGTAAATAACAGTAGTACAGATAAAGTGCATAATGATAAAAAAATCTAGCCAGTGGAAAGTCCTGAGGGTTCTTAACTAGGAAGGACATATAGCATTGTAGATGACTCCAGTGTGGAAGATGCTTTTCTTGCAGAAAGCAGTTACCAGGCCGTTGTGGCAGTCCAGATGAGAAATGTTAAAGGTAGAACTAAGGCCATGCAATGGGAAAAGGGATGAAGGAGAGGACATAGCAAAGAGATGTCTAGGAGACAGAATAGACAGGGCATAGTGGCTTAAGAAATACATGGGCTGGGCAGAGGAGGAGGAGATGAGGAATATAGCAGAGAAGAGTAGAAAAGGGATGAAGGAGAGGACATAGCAAAGAGATGTCTAGGAGACAGAATGGACAGGGCATAGTGGCTTAAGAAATACATGGGCTGGGCAGAGGAGAAGGAAATGAGGAATATAGGAGAGAGAGAGTTAGAAGGTGGATAATAGGTTTGGTTTTTAGATATGCTAGATTTGAAGCGCTCTGTAGGACACCATGTCTTCTGAGAAAGCAGAGGCATTGAGTCCAAATCTATTTGTAGAAAGGTTTATTGATGGGTCTGAAGGGGTAACAGCTGCTAGTGTTTATTTTTTGGAGATGTGGGAGGCAGTGTCCCTTACTGAGCATAGGGGTGGAAATGTGGTTGAGGCTTGAGACAGGAAAGGTTTGGAGTAGTTGCTCAGGGAGTCAGGAGGGGAGCTGAGCAGGTCGGCCTAGGACTGTGAATGATTTTAAGGATCTAATGCAGTTTTGAGACCAGTCATTTGTAGTGGACAAGTGCAACAAACAGTTGTGACTTTTCTCTAGCCACACTCAGCTCAGAAAGCAAAAAATGTTGATTGAATTGATCCTCCAGGTGGGAATTTGCAAGTCAGGTATGGCAAAGAGCAGTGAGAGTTGACAAGACCAGTGAGAAAGGCATTGGAGTGACATCAAGTGACTTATTTCTGGTGTGGTAGATGAAAGGAAATCTAGTTTCCAGAAGGTGTATATATATCAACCATTGATTTGACTGCTGAGTATACTGGGTATAGTAATGGAAATAATTCATTACAGGACTTCCAGAATTATTTGTTGTT